GTGGGGTGTGACTTAAAAGAAAACAACACCCACATCCACACGCACATCCACACCCGCTCACATCCACACCCAACCCATCCCATCCCATCCCATACAATCTCAACCCAGCTCAACCCATCCCAACCCATCTCAACACAACCCAACTCAACACAACCCAATCCAACCCAACCCAACCCATCCCATACAATCTCAACTCAACTCAACCCAACCTAACCCAACCCAACCCAACCCAATCCAACCCAACCCAACCCAATCCATACAATCTCAACTCAACTCAACTCAACCCAACCTAACCCAACCCAACCCAACCCAACCCAACCCAACCCAACCATTCTCAACCCAACCCATCCCAACCCAACCCATAGCATACCCTTCTTGAAATCATTCTGCACTTGAGCTGCAGTCAAATTTGAATTTCCAGGAAAGCGGAATTTACCATGCCCTCCTAATTTTAGACTATACTTGCAAATAAAACATCATCCATTCGTTCATTTCGTCCAACCAATAACTATGCGAGAACAAAATATGTCGTATTTTTCAATAGAGGATGATAAAGAGAGAAAGGATGAAAATTCTATTGGCTTGTTTTTTTTTAATCAATGAAACAAAATAATATATTTCTTTCCCTTGTTTCATGAGAGATCAAAGTCATTGGTTAATTTAGTTTAACCAATAAATGTTCAAAAAAACAGAGACGTCGTATTTTGACAGTGTTACTGGAAATGATGAAAAGAAAAATATTATTTAACATAAAATTTTTATTTAATATTTATTTTCCCACGAATTTCATAAGTTTTTTTTCAAGAAAAATTCTACAAATATTTTTATTTAAATTTTATTTTCTCTTTTATTTTTGTTCTCGTATATTCAATGGTTGCAAAAAATGAACCAATGGATGATGTTTTATTTGGAAGTATAATCTAAAGCTAGATAATTACCATTTTTCTCATTGATTTTATTTTCAAAATTGATCAATGAGGTGTGTGTAACGAAAACGGAGATGCAGCTCTACCACTGGTTGGGCATTGATGTTAATGAGCTCCTGGTGCATTCCACTATCGTTATGACAAATGGAGAGACATAGTTTTAGTGCCTTAAGGCACGATGTTTATTCGACTATGTTCTACATCCAAATGTAACAATCTCAAATACAACACGAGCTTATATACGCGAGAGAGAAAGATACAAGATGAAACAGGAAGAAAGACAAGTAGGAGAGAACATGACACTCAATATAACAAAAAAGGAAGATCATTAATTGAGGTCATACAATATAAGAGGGAGGAAGAAAGAAAGAAAAGAGATGACCGAGTGTTACGCATTACATGATCAGCACAACAGTTGCTGTTCAAAAGGACATCCGTTAATTGTTGTATCTTCTGTTGGAACTATTTCATTTATGTAATGTGATCATTAGCGCCATTTCATCAGTCATAGTATTCATTGTTCTGTAATCGTTCCATTCACCCTCATCTTGTGTTGCCACAGTGTCCTCGTACATAATCAATTGAATGATTGATGGACTTGTGACATAACGATGATCACTCATTTTCTTAAATGACGAGTGTATTCCTTGGCACGGTGTGGAATTGATAGTATTCATCGAGCTCTACCTAGATCCATGATTGATTCATCTTGTTCAAGTTTCTGAGCGCATCGGCAGGAGTCTTTCGCATTTCTACAATTTTTTGGGCGATATTTAGGATTTTCTCTGTGAGCGAGGGATCCTACAGAAAAAATAATTAGTCCAGAAAATAGAGCTGATCGAGCTCTATCTGAATCCACCATTATTCCACCTTGGTCCACTTTCTGCGCGAAATGGCATGAGCTTTTCGAAATTTTACAGGTTTTTGGGTGGTATTTGGATTTTTCTCAGTGAAGGAGGGGTCCTGGAGAAAAAGTAATTAGTCCCAGAGATAGAGCCCGTTGAAATTTGTCTGGAACCAGGATTGGTTACAATTGGAACCGGCTCAGAATTGAATCGGGAAAGAAAATACTAAGATTTTCCAGGTTTGAGGCGGTATTTTAGGTTTTTGGTAGGCAACGAAGGATCTTTGGAAAAAAATAACGCCTGGAATCAATAGAGCTCGTTGAGATCTATCTGAAGCCAGGGCTGGTTACAATTGAAACCGGCTGAGAATCGAATCGGGAAACCAAATACTAAGATTTTCCAGGTTTGAGGCGGTATTTTGGCTTTTTGGTAGGCAAGGGAGGGTCATTGAAAAAAATAACCCCTGGAATCAATAGAGCTCGTTGAGACCTATCTGGAACCAGTGTTGATTACATTGGAACCGGCTGAGAAACGAATCGGGAAAGGAAATACTAAGTTTTTCCAGGCTTTGGCCGGTATTTTGGTTTTTTCTCGCGCAAGAAAGGGTCTATAAACAAAAGTGAAGTTTGGAATCGATAGAGCTCGTCGATTTCTACTTAGAACCATCATTGGAATCAATTTTATCGGTCGAGGAGCGAATCGGAAACGGTATTTCTGAAATGTTTCTGTTTTTTATGTATTTTTTCGAAGTATTTTGGGTTTTTCTTAGTGAAGGGGGTCTATGGAAAAAAGCGATGTTTGGAATCGATAGGGCTCGTCGAATTCTACTTGAAACCAGTGAGAATGATATTAGAACCGCTCCAGGAGCGAATTGGAGAAGGAAATACTCGAATCGGTTGATAAGATATCTTACATTATACTATTGAGCAGCATATGACATGTTATATGAATTTCAAACCAATTAAAATCCTATGCATACAGAAAAAAAGCTGACGACGATTTTACTCAGCATAAAACTTCTGTGACTTTCGAGTCAGTATTCTTAGAACTTATCGACATACTCTTAAGTCGTTTTTGTTGATATATTAAAATTTTTTTGACGGAAAAGATCCGTTAACTGACAAAAAATTGTGATTCTGTCTGCAAGTGTTTTCATATTTGCAGGACGACAAAAGGAATTTTTATTACACTTTTTTAAATACTGCAAAATCTTGACTTCTTTCGATTTCTTTGGATGAAAAAAGAGTATTATTCTAGTTAAAATAACCGTTATAAAAAGAAGCGGAGCCAAAAAATTTCAATAATTCTCATCTTCAAAAATAATTGTTTATTCATTCAATTCATTGCACAGCAATAATTGACAAAAATATCTATTAAACTAGTTTCCTTAGCAGTAGAGATCTGCGAGTCTTTCAAGACCGGGGCTCGAATCCGGGTCCGGATCTATATATAAGTTTAGCTTCAGACCCGGTTTGCATTAAGTTACGAATCTACATATATATAAAGTTGCCAATAAAGAGCTAAAACATTGTACTTTTATTTGTTCATGTACACAGAGGGTGCCAGATATTGATGAAAAAAAGAGCCGGTCTGGATCCGACCGGGTCCGGGTCCAAAAAAACATGGACCCGCAGCTCTCTACTTAGCAGACGTCTTAAAAGAGTATAAAGTCAAAGAAATAAATTTGTGGGTAAAAATAATTGAAAGACGAGACTGATTTAATCAGAAACCATGTGTTTATCTTTGTCTATATATGTACAGAACATGTTTTTGAGTGATCACTATAATGTAAGATAAATACGAAATTTCTTTAAAATCTCATATTTGAGGATAGAAATGTTCGTTTGAATCAAATATTTAGAGTATTCTAAGGGCCATTGAATCTAGATATGGACTACATATCAGTTTAAAAAATACATGCATGCCTGGAGAAGCCAGAACATTTTCGAATATCTGAGCTCGCCTTTGGTTTGAACTTATAAATATTCATTAGAAAAGAAGGTCATCTTTTTTTGTATTAGTCTCTTTGATATCAGCAGTAGCAGTCTTTTTAGTTCCTGCAGGCTCTATACTTTTAGAATAACAAAAGAATCCACGAGTATGCTATTTAGATTTCTCATTAGAAATCTTCTGAATGAGCATCCAGTTCATGAAGAATGCTACGCAAGATAATAATATTTTTTTTGGTATAATTTAGATCAACGATGCTATGGCAAAAATGACACCTAATGAAGAAGATAGTGGGTTTGTCATCAAAACGCCTCGAGTAAGTAATTTCCTGGCACACCGATTGGTACTCATATTATCTATACGAATCTTGTAGGGCACGCGAGACTATCATCCAGCTCAGATGAGAATTCGTGAAGAGGTGTTTCGTACGATCATCGACTGTTTTAAACAGCACGGAGCCGAAACAATTGATACGCCCGTTATAGAACTCAAAGTATATTTTGTCTAATATCTTTTGTTTTTGCCTCAATATTTTCTTTGATTTTTGTTCCAGCCTCTACTTACAGAAAAGTATGGAGAAGATTCTAAGCTCATTTATGAGCTTAAAGATCAAGGTGGAGCTGAACAGTTGGCATTACGATACGATTTGACTGTTCCATTTGCTCGTTATCTTGCTCAGAACAAACTTTCGCATATGAAACGATATCACATTGGTAAAGTTTATCGACGGGATAATCCAAAAATGACTCGAGGCCGATATCGTGAGTTTTACCAGTGTGATTTTGATATTGCTGGTGACTATGCATTGATGGTACCCGATGCCGAGTGTATTAAAATAACTGTTGAAATTCTTGACAAACTCGCACTCGGACCCTTTCGTGTCTACGTAAGTCAATTTATTCTAGTGCTTATCAATAAAAAAGAGAACATGAATTTCTTAAAAAGATAAGACAAAATACATAACTTTTTATGACAATAGGCATGGTTCGCCTAATCTAAGTATATCTTATATTTTTCGACTTTTAATTTTGTATTAAAAAGACGAAATCATCTTTGCAGAGTTTCTGTTTTAAAAAGTCAAAATATTAAATGTTTTATTTCGTTAAAAACAAAGATTTAAGAAGGTTTTTCTACAAGGAAATAAATCTCGTTGTGTATATAACTACGTAAGTGGTAGTGTCATCATTAGTTCTCTAGAGAATTGTGGATTACTCAAAGATTAGTCATTTTATACGAATTTGTTAGCTTAAGCGATATTACATATGATCCTTCAGCCTATATTCAAAGAAAATAATATTCTGTAAATATACTGTAGATTTAAGCACATTTTTTATCTAAAAAATACTGACTTATACTTCTTTTAAGAAATGTAACTACAGGGTATGTCAAAATTATAGACCC